TACATGGAGCTATGAGTGTGGGTGGGCATCATGGTGGAGTTTGTAGAGAAAAGATCAGAAGGCCGAGAGGTGGGCAGTGCCCATAGCTCAGTGGGTAGGGCACTGTCCACATACACCCAGGCTGGTGGGTTCAAAGCCAGTCCTGGCCAGCTAAAAAACAAAAACAACTGCAACAACAAAAAATAGCCGGGCGTTGTGGCGGGCGCCTGTAGTCCCAGCTACTTGGGAGCTAAGGCAAGAGAATCATGTAAGCCCAAGAATTTGAGGTTGCTGTGAACTGTAACACCAAAGCACTCTACCAAAGGCGACATAATAAGACTCTGCCTCAAAACAAACAAAAAAAATGTATTTGGAAATGTTAAAGGAAAGCCAGATCAAAAGCAGTTATCAAAAACTTTACTAGTATTTTATCTCCCATCAAGTGAAAAATACAATTCCCCTGGTACTATGGTTTGAATGTGTTCCCTCCAAAATTGCATATTGCCAATGAAATACAATTAAGAAGTGACAGATGCCTTTTAGAGGTGATTATGTTCTGTGGGCCCCTCCCCTCATGAATGAGATTAAGGACCTTATAAGAGTTTCAGCTGCATTCAGCTAGCTGGTCTTCTACCCTATGAAGATGCATAGATTTCCCCCCTTGGAAGGATGCACCCCTCACCAGCTGAACCTGCTGGGGCCTTGATCTTGGATGTTAACAGCCTCTAGAACTCTGACAAATAAGTGTTTATTCTTTATAAATTACCTAATCTCAGGTATTTTGTTATAATAGCATAAAATGGACTAAGACATATAAATATCATAGTTTAAATACCACCACAAAAACAACACCCTCTGTCACTTATGCTGGAAGTAAAATATCCATTTTATAATAATTCAAGTGATTACTTCTTCAGTTTCAAATAACAATATAAAATGTTTAGAAGCAAAAGCCTTCTCAGTAACAGTTGTTACCTATCAGAAGGGGAGAAGGTAGTATTGACTGAGAAGAGGCTTAAAGGTCTCTAAAACGTCCTGTATCTTGGATATGGATGGTGGTCACACCAAAGTTTGGAGAAGAAAATTTATCAAATGGCACACTTTAGACCTACGTGTTTTACCATATGTCAGAAGCACCTTTAAGGCTTGGCGCCTGTAGCTCAGTGGTTAGGCCACCAGCCACATACACTGGAGCTGGCGGGTTCTAACCCAACCTAGGCCTGCCAAACAATAATGACAATTACAACAACCAAAAAAATTGCTGGGCATTGTGGTGGGTGCCTGTAGTCCCAGCTACTTGGGAGGCTGAGGCAAGAGAATTGCCTAAGCCCAGGAGTCGGAGGTTGCTGTGAGCTGTGACGCTACAGCACTCTACTGAGGGCAATAAAGTGAGACTCAGTCTCTACAAAATAAAAATAAATAAATAAATAAAACAAAATTAGAAGCCTTCTTAAGTTTCTTTTTACATTTTTATTTTTTAAAATGCATCTAATTGTTAATTGATTTTTTAAACTAAAGAATGAATAAAGAAAATAAGACCTTATATCAGCAATATGTTTTAATGGTTGCCAACTATACCTTTTACGGTTTAATTAAAATTCACTTATATTTTTATTGTCATGATTATATTTACAAGGTTCAATAAATTTTTTTTCATTGTCAAAAATACCATTTGCAGTAGTATCACAAAATACCAATCTAATGAAAATGTGCAAGACTTCCACATGGAAAACTATATAAAACACTCCTGAGAAAAATGAAAGAAAACCTAAACAAATAGAAAAATATCGCACGTTCAGGATTTAAAAGACTCAAAAATGTTAAGACATCAATCCTCCCCCAAGCAATATCTACAGCGCATATAATCTGAGTCATAATCCCAACAGGCATATGGTAAGGGTGCGCCTACGCATGTGAACACCCAGGGATCTAGATATTGACAGGCCAATTGTAAAAAGTATATGGAAATGCAAAGGACCAAGATAATCTTAAAGAAAAATAACTAGCTGCTGGGCAGCACCTGTGGCTCAGTGAGTAGGGCGCCAGCCCCATATACTGAGGGTGGCGGATTCGAACCCGACCCCGGCCAAACTGTAAAAAAAATAGCCAGATGTTGTAGCAGGCACCTGTAGTCCCAGCTACTTGGGAGGCTGAGGCAAGAGAATCACCTAACCCCAATAGCTGGAGGCTGCCATGAGCTGTGATGCCATAGCACTCTACCAAGGACAATAAAATGAGACTGTCTCAAAAAAAAAAAAAAAGAAAACAGAAAAATAACTAGCTGGGCATGGTGGTGGGTACCTGTAATCCCAGCTACTTGGGAGGTGAGGCAAGAGGATCACCTGAGCCCAGGAGTTTGAGGTTGCTATGAGCTATAATGCAATGGTACTCTACCTAGGGTGACAGAGTGAGACTCTGTCTCTAAATAAATAAATAAATAAATACAGTTGGAGGGCAAACTACAGTAATTAAAATAAGTGTGTCACTGTCAGAACACTGTTCACTGTCACAACAGAACCAAAAAAACTCCAGAAACAGACTCACACATATACAATCACTTGACTTATGACAAAGAGTGAAATTCAAGAAGAAAGCAGTCTTTCTAATAAATATTGCTGGAGCAACAAGATA